CATGTATATAATATAGTATTATAGTATATATGACTGGCTACCAATATTCACAAATCATCTATTTCCAGGAAATTCGTCCTAATGTACTCAATTGATAACGCGGAACTGCACGTTGACTAGGAAGCCGTTAATTGAAATTCACTAGAGTGCGTGATTCGATTAGGTTTGTCGTATAGTTGCGGCAAATAAAAATAAAAAATAAAAAAAATAAAAAATAAAACAAATAAAACAAATAAAAAAATAGATGTAATGGCTGGTCTAATCGAAATGTGCGTGTTCTTGCTCACCAGATTTTGACGAGACAGTAGCGTGCGGCTAGAGACCCTTCCAGAATGTGACAGCTCTTCTTCTAGTGGTGGGTAAACGCCATCCGTATACAGTCATCAGTTATCCAGTCGGGATTGCCTAGGGCATCTAACGAAGATTTTTCCTCGCGGTATTTCTTTACTTCTGGGACGACTCTGCTAAGACACTCACTTACAGCATGACATTAAGTCAACCCGTTTAATACGGGAGAGTCTCTGACTGCGAAGATGGTGTTGTTTCAAAGTATATCAATTTAAAATTGATATATCTGTGTAGTGTATATCACACTAGTAAATCGTTGGAACTTTAGCCAGGAAGCTAAATGACCAGGTAGGCGGATACAGACAGCTGCGGGAATGGCCCTCTATACGGCTGACACAAAGACGACAGTGGGGCATTTCATCCTTGCAGAACAAACCAAGCATATGATGGGAAATTAGATAGACGGCATGTGACGGCGGTACAAGGACAGCCAAGTTTAGTTTGGTCACCACTCACGGCCGACAGGATGAGGGTGAAATAGAGGGAAGCGATTACTTCGATTTCTGATTAGACTATCTCGTCCTGGCTTTAAGGAATATGTAGAAAGGTGGCCAGAGTGAGGAGCGATAGACTGTTGTAGTTGCTACATACTGACTTTCGTGCGAATTCTTTTGCCGTTGGAGGCTAGATCTTGCGGATTTGATCTTCGCTGGGCTGTTGGATGTGGTTGTGCGTGGAGTGCAGACGTGGATGCCGACAGAGAAGATTGGGTATCGATCGTGTATGTATTCGAAGGTAGAGACTAATTAAAGCGGAAATCTGAAAGTGAAAAGTTATGTAAAACAGGTTTCAGTGCTTTAAACTAAGCAGCGAGGGCACGTGGTATGTATCTTGCTTATATCGTCGCTTCTTCTGGTCACGCTGCGTTTCTCTTCTAATCTCCACTGGCGTTGTAAAGGCTCAAAGCAAGTGGAAATAATAGATTAACTAGGCGAAGCTGCGGACGGGTCAGTGTAGATTCAATCACAGCGCGTGGATGACCGATAGGCTTGTAGTGTCGAGTGCGGGGGACCTATATATATATAGCAACATATCTGTAAGGACGTAAGGACAGTTACCACGACGTTAATGAATCTGTTTTCATTCGTATAGACTGATGAGGAGGAGGAGGAGGAGAAGGCTAAACTAGATGTTGAACTAAGCAATCTGCGTAACAAAGCCGTCTTCTTCTTCTCGATGGCCAACGGTCTTCTCATCATACTGCTGCTCTTACTGCAGATTAACGATCTCGATATTATTTGGCCGTTCGGAACGAACTCCAGTGGCGAGCCGATCCTCTTGGAACCTATCGGGTTCTTCTTCCTCGGCTTCTACGTGCTAATCTTACTAGTGCAGCTAGTTGCCATGTTTTTACACAGGTAACTCGCTGCGATTCGTGTTAACGATAGGAATTAGACTTAATTCTGTTCATTCTTGATGGAAATGAGTTGAAAACGGACAGATTTATAGAGCGTTAAAGGGTTAACGATTCATTAATATATCGAATCCTTAGATGGGCGCCTCAAAGTGTCAAGTACTTGAAAGTCTATACTTGGTCCATGTCTTAACAATATTGTGGCTACATAGACTAATATGGGGGATCACAGAAAAACATAGTGAGAGTCTGCACGCGTGGATTGGCAGCATTGCTCGGATTTAGTAGCACAATTTACGCGGAGAGCGTACGTAGTACCTCTACTGTTTAAACTTGATATCGTATAGTTGCACTGTAAATCACACCAATCATTTGCGATAGATGGACAACAATGAGTCACATCGTAGCCCTTACGGACATGTGGTGGGAAACACCAAAGAATAAACAGCGTAACATGAACGGTGTAGAGCTTGTCAAGGAACTGCAAACTATCCCAGGCGCGGACGAAGACGACGCGAATGCAGGTTGGGCCAACTACTATATTACGCCAATCGCCAATACTCACGAATACTTCCCGTTAGACGTTCTAATAAGATGCCTATCTTGTGATTTAGCGTATCCTCTGTACTATGTGACCGTCATTAGTGAAGCTATAAACATTGCACTAATTCAATAGTGGTGATAATCAAAAAATGATATGGCATGTGCGTGCGTGCGTGTGTGCGTGCGTGCTTGCGAACGATTGCTCATTTGCTCAACGAACTTATCACATTTTGCTCTCCCTATTACAGGTCATGTACATGTACTATCTGCTCGGATATAGACTATACGACCTGATGAATGTTGATGCGTATACGAAACAAAGGTTTGGTGATAATACGTATATACTCGCTCTTGATGGAGATGTGGACTTCAAACCCTCAGCAGTAATCACGTTAGTCGACTTGATGAAAAGGAATTTGAGTCTTGGCGCAGCGTGCGGAAGAATTCAGCCGATCGGATCAGGTAAACAGTTATAATTACCTGTTGTTAATAATCTGTTATGATAAATGTATTAATCTATTTCGTGCCCTCATAACGAATTCGTGATTTTAATATGCTGAATCACATATTTTTTAATTGCAAAGTATTATTTATCTTCTTCCCGATAATTAGATTCCACGCGTTATATCTATTCTCTTTCAACTCGGTCTCCAAACTCGTTCACCAGATGGTTTATACCTGTCTCGCTTGTAATTTTCTAATGATGTTCATCTAAATTTAATAGGGTAGCCTATTTTGCTGAAAAGTTGACAAGCTGATAAACATTTCTAGTAATCTACCGAAAGTCGGCAGTGTAAACGTAAAATTTGAGCGGTTAACAAGTTGATAGCAACTGATTGAGAATTTAGAACATGTTCTATTTTCTCAACTTTTGGTCAGCGAGTTGATCAAGTTAATTGTAATTGTCACTCAGCTACTCCGATAATAGCAATCAAGAGGTGCGTACCACCAACCAGGGAAAGAGCGCGTTTCTGCTATCGGCTCCACACTGGCGCGAATTAATACGTGAAAAAATGCGTATCCATGGCTCCCCGTGCGCACAGTGCGGGTCAATTGTTGAAACATTTGCCGACTCGCCAGCGATAACGTAAAAACTTTGAACATCACATAGAAAGGTTGATAGAACGTTGAAAAACATTTCCATGAATATACTTTTCGTCGACTTGACCATAGTGTAAACTCAGCTTAAGAGATGTGTCTTGCTATTTCAACATTCGTATCTTATTGCTAGCCATCGGGTTTTGCAATTGATGAGGTAGTGAACATTATACAGCTTTACAAAAAAACGTCTACCGTATCATTTTCTATCGCGGTATACGATTGCGAAATCATATGTGTAGTTGGATCATATTTCACTAATCCATCTCGTGTAAGCATGGCACGGCTAACTATTGTGCCATTTTTGTTTTATTAATTTAACATTTTTATTTTATGATCGTCTGAACGCTATAGCCGCTGGCAAATAGCACTACGTGCTGGGCACAGTCGAGATACTTATATAGACGATATTTAGTGAATTAGTACTTGGTGCAAGTTATTACACGAACAACCAAAACGACGCGCTGCTTGGCACATTTCTGATCTTTCTGCAAAACGCTTCTTCTCACGCGAGTGTTGTAGCGTTGTTTGTCAGTGTCAGTGTGATTCAGTGCGTTTATCGACCCGACAGGCCCGATGGTGTGGTACCAGAAGTTCGAGTACGCGATCGGACACTGGCTGCAGAAGTCGACCGAGCACATGCTAGGCTGCGTGCTCTGCAGTCCGGGATGCTTCAGCCTGTTCCGTGCCAGCGCCCTGCTGGCGCCCAATGTCCTGAAACGATACACAACGCCCTCCAGCGAGGCCCTGCACTACGTGCAGTATGATCAAGGTATAGCTGGTCGTGCTTGTGCGTGCGTGCGTGTGTGTTCGTGCGTGCGTGCGAGCGAGTGAGTGTGAGCGGGCGTGCGTGGGCGTGCGTTGTTGTACCTTCCACCCAGCATGGCGTGCGGCCGCACGATCAGGTTATAGCTTATCTCGTGTGCGTCTATTTCACTGCACAAATTACATTGTTTGTTTAAAACGTTTGCACACCCAGATTATGGTCCTCCGTACATCCTGGTCGTAATCGTGCATCTCGTCGAAGTGCGCTCCTAAATTCCCTCTAAACGTTTCATCGCATGCATGCACGAATATTATTTACCTACGCCGGCGCACACGTGAGTTATTTTACTCAAGTAAAATGACTCAGGAGTCATTTTACTCACGTGTGCGGATTTTCGTTGAGTAATTTGACGCATGCGTCATTTTACTCACGTGTGCGGCGAATTTTCGTTGAGTAATTTGACGCATGCGTCATTTTACTCACGTGTGCGGCGGATTTTCGTTGAGTAATTTGACTCATGCGTCATTTTACTTGAGTAAAATAACTCACGTGTGCGCCGGGCTTACATAATGTCACTGGATATCATAATCATTTAGCGCACGTACGTAGACTGTTACGGTTGTTTATCACCAGGCGCGAGGGTAACGTATCGCGCTTTTCATGCATCGCACGAATTCTGTCGTGGTGTGTGTGTTGTGTGGTGTGTGTGTGTGTGTGTGTGTGTGTGTGTGTGTGTGTGTGTGTGTGTGTGGTATGTGCGTGCGTATATACGTGCCTATATATGGATAGAGGGGTAGGATAATGAAATTACAGCGCTATGTACACCTGTTTGAGCTCGTATACGTAGTTTATGTAACAGTATTCACAATCTCTACTATAACATTCGGCGATTTCCCGCGCAGTTAAAGGAGGCAATTCCAGGCAAAAAGAGCCGCCAAATGCAATGTACGTTTCACTAGTGAATATATAACCAAATGTTTCGTAACAAAATTAACGTCGTGTTAGCAATAATTTAAAACAGCATAATAAACGACGACAGCACCGATCAACATTTAACCCCCCCCCCAAATACATCACTTACAACGATTAATAACTATGTAAAGAATAGACGGGACAACAATCGTGTGTCAACACATTTCGTTAAAAGGCGCGCTTCTATAGCTGTTGTGTACCAGGGCCCGATTTTAGGAGTGGGCAGATGTGGGCAGCTGCCACGGGCCTCCACAAACCAGGGGCCTCCACATATTGATTTTTTTTTTTTAATGTTAAGGAAAAATATAGGCTGACCTGAATGCATGCACGCAACCCGTATCAATCAAAACCAACCGTTATTGTGCGCATTTTACATCTTACATACGTAGGACATAGCGGCATAACCCATATTGTATTTGTTTGTGAATTGGTATAGTCAACTACAGGCGAGAAACGTACCAACGGCTTTCAACGTAGCAATATTCGCTCTCTTTATTCATGTAAACCTTTTTTATTTTGCAAGATAGCCCTCACACATGTATGTTCTATGTCTTGTTACCTTTTTAGTTTTTAGTATTCTTTCTAAGGTAGGGTGGGCCTCCACAAATGATGGCTGCCCAAGGGGCCTCACATGTCTAAATCGGGCCCTGGTGTGTAATTGTGCCTTATTTACGAAGCAAGTATGAACTGTGATTTTATAGGCGAGATAGGTGGCCTCTGCACGCTGCTACTGCAGCCGGGATATAGGGTGGAATACTCGGCAGCCGCCGACGCTTTCACTGATCGCGCCTGGGGTTTCTTCGATTTCTTCAAACAGCGCGACGCTGGGTGCCATCTAAATGGCCAACATCGTAGACCTGTTGGCTGACACAGAACGTTGTCAGCAGGAACGATACGATGTCTTTCGGGTCAGAAATGTCGATATACGTGTTCACGTGTACCAATGTAGGTAGTAATAGTAGTATGTCTAATTACACAATGACATTATGACACAATGACACAATGACATTAATGACACAATTTGGCTACATGATCCTGCATTCAGGTTCTGCTCGTCATTGGACTGGGATTAAACTAGTCTAAGCGGCATCGAGCTTTTGTGAGCGGGCGATTCTAGTAGTAATTGTAGTAGTAGTAGTAGTAGTTATTAGTAGTAGTTATAGTAGTAGTAGTAGTAGATAGTAGTAGTAGTAGTGTAGTAGTAGTAGTTAGTATAGTTACTTTTAATTATTATTATTATATTTATTTCAAAGTGGATCACGGCATTATAGCCGGTGCATGGCCTTGTATTTAGGCGATTTCTGCACTCTTCTTCTTCTTTTCTTTTATTATTATTATTCCAAGTTGGATCACGGCATTAGCGCGTGGCTTCTGGGTTGACCGTGTCCCAACCTGGGACATAGGGATTCAATCCAGAATTTTTCGCAGATGTGTGCTGTTCCCAGTAGTGCGATTTTTGCACTTCTTGGGCAGTGTGTTGGCCAGATGTCCTTAAGGTTCTTCTCAAAACCATTCTTTAGAGACGCAGAGGCTCAACCACCACTGGTACAATTCTCGTCTTTGTATTCCACATCCTCCTAATTTCAATCTCCAGGATCTTTGTACTGGTGAGTTTGTCCTTTCCCTTCACATAATGTTAGAGTCACTCTGGTACGGCTACGTCAAATCAACAGGCATCGTTTTTCTTTCCTGTTGTTGGAGCACTATATCAGGGCGGGTTTGCAAGGTTATCGTGCGATCTGTCTGACCGCCATATCCCACATTATGGTAGTATCTCCGATGTTGGTAACTGGTCTCGGAGTATGTTCATACCACTTGTCAGTACTTGCTCACCAGTTCACTGCAGATTGACGCAGTTGCAGATAGCTGGCCTACCTTGTTATGGCGGATTTATGCTCTGGTTGGGGCCAGCACTGTCATCCGGAATGATGTGGCTGATAGTCTCCTCTAGCTTTGCCTGCACATTCTGCACTTGCTGTTGACCTGTTGCTGATGGATCTTGGTTGGGTATCTGGTGTTGAGAGCTTTGGTCCTGAGCTGCAATGATCAGGCTTCTGTCTCCCTTTGAGCCGGAACTACTGAGCCAGGCAACGCTTGCAGTCTTGTCGACAAATGGCTGTCGAGGTTCTTGTTAGGATCTTCCAT